TAGGCTATTGTTTTTATGTAGCTGAACTGCATTCATACTGCATGGAGGGGCATATGCTGGATGTTACCCGTTAGGTTAACTCAATAATTTATTTATTAATTGATTTTAGCTAACAATTTCAACTAATTATCCATTCGCTGGCTACAATAATCATCCAATAGCTTTGTATAGCAATGTATTAGCCTACTTTTAGGTAGGCCTAGCTATTTCATCCATTAACCTACTTCAGGCAATGTTTAAACCTTCTATCCATTATTTTATCCATCACGTATATTAACTGTTTATTCTTTACTTTTGTCACTTTGTTTCATCTATTACTTTTAGCTAAATATGTGAACGGTTTATTATCTAGTTATCTATTTTAACCTTCATCCTTCTCTGCTCTTGTAATTCTTTAGCCTGCTAGTTTCTCAATTGCAAATTATACTTTCTAATCAATCATAATTTTTTTCAAATTAGTTGTGCTTTCCCACAATCTCCCCATGTACACGTTTGCAGCAGCAAGAGTACAAGTAGTTGGGAATTACAGATCTAGTGTTCACTAGCAAGCCGACTTAAAATATATTACCCTTCTTATCTTTCCCAGGTCACACATGGTAATCATCCAATGCCATCATACTGCACGTTTATAGTAGCAGCTAAATATTAAAATGAATGTAGGCCAACTGGATCTATGTATACTACGGTATCATAATTCAAAATACTTATTATTCTTTTCATTGAGGAACTGAAACATTTTGATGACTACCTTTTATGACCTTTTGTGTGCCCCTGAATCAGACTGAAACAACCTCAACAATATGTGTTGAGTATATGTAATTTCAGCCACTTAGGATCATTAAAAGGAGATCATATTGAATATCACTTCTCGGGCGGGAAAGAGAGAGCGAGAAAGAAATAAAGAAGAGATTTGTTTGTCAGTCAATTCTGACCCACTCAATCTCCTTAGCCTTGTGAAAGAGGGGGAGAGAAAGGGTCGGGGTCAGCTTTCTGTAAATCTGCTGATGAAATGTTGACAAAACAGCCAATTTTCTGTAATTTTGCTACAGCCGTCTTTCAGCAGCTTACTCACTCAGAACCCCTTCATTTCAAACAGCAGCACACCGCGACCTCTGACATGTATCTCGTCTCTGACTTCTTTGGCCTGGCAGAAAGACAGTAACAGTTGTGCCTTTTAGGTCAGGTGGATGCCGTTTAAGGAGCCAGCCTCATAAAGGACGCCTTTGTCTCTCAAACAGGCTCTCTTGGGCCCCAGTAAAAGGATAAGAAATGTAGTTAATAGCTCAGGAGTGGCCTAATCATCAGCTGCCATTACTGCTCCAATATCAGCAGAGATGACAGACTTATCAATAACAAAGGCCCAGCTGAAGCCTCCACCGCTCTGTCATTTTGATCTTTGCTCCACTAATCAGAGCTTTCATTTGAGCTAAGCACCGGGCAGCACACCTCTCATTCTCTTCATGCTGTGCCAGATATCACTCATCTTTACAAGCCACTCTGTATTCCCTCAACCCCAGGCCACCATTTCCACAAATTGGCTTAATTTCTCCAGCAAATATATGACACATCTGAGAGCTCATTATCCGTGCAATGCAAGTGATTATTGCACTTACTGGTAAAACTCTCTTAGCTTTTGAGGTTTTGTCTTGAATGGCTTTGGTTGGAGTCCAGCTGATTTTTTAAATGAAATGAAGATATGTCAAACTGACTATCATTGCATTGTATAAATATTTCATAAGCTTATGCTGTGTTTGGTTTCATAGTACATTTCCATAACACAAAAGGATTTTGAGGGATGTTGTTTGTTGGTCTAATACAAAGCATTGACTGAAGAGTAACACCTTCATATACCTTATGTGTTGTAAAACAAAAACAAGACTTATATTAATAAAAAGCTGTCAATCATCTATATAGAGTAGATAACTGTCTCAGGAGAGCAAATCACTCTTATATAGAATATTACATACGCTAAAGGGATGATGTATATGATTTAATTGTAAAATACATACTTTAATGTCAATATTTCTCTTGTTCATTCTTCCACAAAAAGCTCCTCCATCAAGGAGAAACCTGAGAGGACCAAAGAGGTGCTCCCGCACCTGGACGAGCTGGCCCTTTCATTTACAGTCATGGTGAGGATCAGGCACTGACTGACTCAGACACCTGCTATTGGGAAATATGTTCTCCATCAGTGAGCTATAGACTATTTCTGGACAGGAGCACTGGGAGACCATTGTTCTCCCCAGCACTGACAGCCAAGGTATTCTGGGACTTTTGGCACACATAGAAAACAATGTGTTATTCATGTTAAGCTTAAAAATTGGACTATACTTATTCAATGTTACCAAACAAACTGCGGTTAGAGGGGTATTTGTTGATTGCAGCAGAATTGTTTGATGGCTTTAATATTGTAATAAAACTGAAAACATTGCATATTCTAAAGAAAAGGATCACATATGTTTTTTTTATATAACTGCAATTGATGGAACAAAATTAGAGAAATGGAAGGATCCGAATTAGTATTGTTAGTTTTACTAGAGTATATTCACAGAATCACAGACATTTTCTTTTCAGATAAAAAATAAATACCTATCTTTCATATTAAACATAACCTATGGTCTCAGGCTTAGCATAAAACAGTGGAGCTCCTTATTCCCTCAGTTTGATACATGATATGTGCTCTTTAAACAAATCATCTGGCCTCTGCTCCTATACAGTCTTATACTGGGGCGGGGGGTTTGGGGATTTTGCAATGTCATCTGGGATTAAAAAGGAGCAGCACATCAGAGCCCCAGGCCACACCACCTGGAGCCCCTATACGATCCCTGGCTCTGCACCACTCAGTACCAGCCCCATTAGCTTGCCGCCGAATAATTCCTGGTCAACCAAATGACACTGAGCTAACAAAGCCCCATTTCAGAAAAGATTACAACTTCAACAGGAAACCCTTTGATTGTGAGTTTGTTTGAAATGTTATCAATACCATGATCATTCCTGCGGATCAACAAAACCATCTCTAATCACCATACCTTGGCTGCACCTTCAGTTGTGCATCAATCTGCAGAAAAGAAAAAAAAAGAAGCAAATTACGGTCGAGAATAGAGGAGGGACTTGTTTAACAAGAAGCACGTGCAATGACAAAGCGATTCCTTTCTCAACGTTGATCACCCACCTGCACACAGATTAGGTCAGATATTCACCTGAGCTGCCAACCTGTCACTCACACTCAATAAAAAAAAAAACACACACACAGCACACATTCATCTCATGTTAGTGCTCCTAACAGTAGACAGCAGACAAGACTTTTCCTGTCAGAAAAACAGACATCGTAGACACACTGTTTGCAAGCAGCTATTACAATAAAATTAAGTGAAATATGGCCATGAACTTTAACCTCTGGTTGGTGTCACAATATACAAAATTCAATACAATCTGCCATTTACAGACAAAAAAGTTGACAAATAAAATTAAAAGATTATGAAATACACAATATTGTAAGCCCAGCTTTTGTGTATGTGCAAAGTGCTTACGTTTTCTTTTATAGTTGTAGTGCTTGATTATTATATTCAAACAACAGTCTGCAGTCTACAAGTGCTTACAACAATAAACACATCTCTTTGTCTACATTGGGTGATGGCCAAACAACACAAAGCTCAATTTAAGTTCTGTTCCTGCCTGAGGGTTACACTTGCAATAATTTCCCATTGTGTTATTTTTGCAGTTTATTCAACTAAAGAAAAAACTATGCGGACGATGTAAAATATTTTTCTACTGTCTTGAGGAAATACCTTGATCTTTCTCATGAAGTTCCTCATTAAACCTCATTAAACGCTGCTGTGTGTCCAACGTTTTCCTCATTTACAAATACGTAATCAATCCCGATGCGCAAAGTTAGATACATAATATAATAATATAATATATAATAATATATACATAATTCAGAGCAGAACCTGCAAACCCGTACAAGCGGGTATTCATTGTGGAAAAAAAAAATTATGAACATAATTTGACAAAATAAACATAAACAAGTTATAAACAAGTATATTTATTGTATAACGCAATCTGATTGGTTGGATACCACAGTTTCCTTATAAAGCTGGTCCACCTCAACCTTTTGAGAGTTGTCTATTGTGATCAAAGAGAGGAATGGGATGCAAAGTTGATGTTTCGTTATCAGTTTGGTCTCTGGCGCCCCTTTGTGGTATATATGCAGAACAGAATTAATTCATTTTTGGTTCAGAAAACCCGATTGTGCAACTAATTCCAAAAACTTTCATGAAACACTACAAATGGCTGAAAAACTACAATATGACGATCAAAGGGTGTAGACTTGACCAATGCCTCTGAGGTTGTAATAGTGGCATAACCTCTCTCTCTCTCTCTCTCTCTCTCTCTCTCTCTCTCTCTCTCTCTC